CCGCCGCCCCCGCCGCCCCCGCCGCCCCCGCCGCCCCCGCCGCCCCCGCCACCCCCGCCGCCCCCGCCTTCACAGCTTGGCGCCCAGAAAGGGGATCAGCCCTCAGCTTCTTATTATTAGACGTCACCGCGAGGAGGAGAAGAAACCCTCACTGGAACAGCAGCGATCCAGAGGCAAGAAAGACCGGAACGTAGCTCAAAAAGACGGTCTTGAAGACGGCCTTGAAGACGGCCTTGAAGACGGCCTTGAAGACGGCCTTGAGGACGGCCTTGAGGACGGCCTTGAAGACGGCCTTGGCAAACGGCCTTGGCGACGGCCTTGGTGAGGGCCTTGAAGACGGCCTTGAGGACGGCCTTGGCGACGGCCTTGGCAACGGCCTTGGCGACGGCCTTGGCGACGGCCTTGGCAACGGCCTGGGCGTTGCAGCGCCGCCACCAATGACGCGGAATGCAGCACGCGCAGCCGCCGACGGAACCCGGGCCAAGTTGGCGGCGCGCATTACAAAGGGAAATTGGGCCAACCTACAGCCAGGCAGCAGCCAGCCAGGCAAGGCGACGATGCAAATGTGGCGCTAACAAGGCTATGCATATGAAATGCTTTAGCCCGCCTTGCAGCTGATTGAGACCGGCTGATCTCTGTGAGTGAGTTATTTAGTTGTCAGTGCCCCCGCGGCTCCGTGTCACCGCGCCGCGCTGTGCCGCCTCCCCCCCCCCCCCGCGCGAACGCGCTCCGACATTTCCACATGCAAATTAATGTCCTTCCCCGCGGACGGCGCCGCTTCCGAACGATAGCGCCCGAAGTTGGCCCGAACGGCGATTCGGCCGCCTTCGGTTCCCTTCGGTTCGGGCGGGCAGTCGTCCGGGCAACTCGCCCGCGTCCCCGAGGACGTCGAGGTCGGCACGCCGTCCCCGCCGTCCCCGCCCTCATTACCTTCATTCTCTTTGGCGCCGCGCAGCACCGCAGAGGGAGAGAGAGAGAGAGAGAGAGAGAGAGAGAGAGAGAGGGAGAGAGAGAGAGAGGGAGAGAGAGGGAGATGGAAAGAAAACACGTTCAACTCGCGGCCCAGTCGGAGGCGGACTACCCGCCAAAAATAAAAGCCTCTTTCCGACGAAATAAAGTGAACGCTGCGCGCTGCGCTGTTTGCGTTGCCGAGGTACGGCGAGGCAAAAAAGACGTGGGCGCCGCACTGCACTGTCAGATGCAATATTGACACGCTGCAGCCAGCCGTCGGCCGTGCAGCAAAGGAGGAGGGGAGGGGGACTGCTCACGGGCCGTGTAACGAGGTTTCTGCGGGTGGAGTGTCGCGCACGGCGCGCACGGCGCGCACGCAGACGGCGAGGTGCCACGGCGAAGGGGTGGACGGCACGGCTCCAAATGGCACTTGTTGACTTGCCTCCGGACGCCGCGCCGAGCGGTGCCACAGAGCCGCGTGAGTCACCGAGGTTGGTGGCAGTGCAGTGGGGGGGCAGGGCCGGCAGGGCAGGACAGCTTCGGCAGAGTAACTCCCCTTTTATGGGACCCGCGCTGTCGGGCGGCGGCGTGGCGGCGTGGCGGCGCGCGGTAAAAAAGAAATATGGAACGGACGCCGTTAGCAAAGGATTACATGATCCGGCTGGGTGCCGCGGTCAAAGAGAGTCAGTGTGTGTGTGTGTGTGTGTGTGTGTGTGTGTGTGTGTGTGTGTGTGTGTGTGTGTGTGTGAGAGAGAGAGCGCGCGTGTGGTGGGGGGGGGGAGAAGGGGGGCAGACAGGCAGAGTGCAGTTCACATCCCGCCGTAGAGGAGGTTTTGGAAGAGGGACAGGAAGTGAAGAGGAAGGGTCAGGAAAGAGTGAGGGAATGCGGGAGGATCGAGGGGCGGGGGCACTATCCGCTGTGACGTCGGGGCCGTCGGGGCCGTCGGGGCTGGCAAGGGATGAGACAATCGGATCCAGGAAATGGATAGACTTCCTCACTCTGCTCCGCTCTCTGCGCGGGTCCGTGGGGTCGACACGCGGCGCCGAGAGACTCTGGCGGGCACGTCAGATGAGGGCGAGGAGGCCGAGCGACGCCGAGCGACGCGGCGCTCTTCCAGTGTATTGACACGGAAGCCCCTCGCCTCGCAGGGCCGCCCCGCCCCGCCCCGCCCCTCTCCCGGGTTTTTGCAGCCTTTAGTCCGGCCCATAAAGATGCTAATCTCAACTATAAGTTACGGACGTGTTCCTCTTTCTTTCTTTTTTCCAAAGGCCCGCCCCGCGACGGCGGCGGCCCGAGCGAGGGCGTGGCTGACCAGAGCGGAACCAGGAGGGGCGCCCCCTTGCCCCCTTGGCCCCGTGCCCCTCGCCGTCGGCACGCCATTCCCCGCATCATACGTATGTCTCGGCCGTAAAGCGGGCACGCGGGGCCACGCCGCGCCGCGCCGAGCCGCGCCGGCCAGCAGTAAATCTTGAAGATCCACGACGCCGCCTCGCCCTGCCTCGCCCTGCCTTGCGCCGCCCCCACCCTGTCGCGTGCGCCCCGCCCCGCCCCGCCCCGCCCCGCCCCGCCACGCCTTGCACCGCCTGCGGGCCGCGACGGTCGCAGCGATGATTACTCCCGCCCCCACCCCAACCCCGCCGGAGGCTCGCCCGCTGACCCCGTCATTACACGGGGGGCATCGCCAGGGCATCGCGATCGGGACTCGAGCCACTTGGCTCGGGGGTGGGGGGAGGGGGGGGGGATGACTGGCCACCCGCTATTCATGTGTGAAAACATGAGGCGTGGGGCGGCGGGCCGAGGCGGATCATCACCATAACTTACCGTGATTTACCTCGGAATTTTTAGCGGTAGGACGCAATGGGTGGTTTGCAGCACGAAAGGGGAAAAACCGCAAAGGTGGTGGTGCAGCAGGCTGATGGTTCTGAACAGACTGTTTACAGCAGTTTGCACATTCAAATGAATGTAATATCATGTTCCTTTCAACCTTACCTCCCTTGCATCTCCATACACACAACTCTCTTTAAAATTTGGTTTAAAATAAAACATAAAAAATTGAACCCTCTCACCCGCGACGACGCCGTGCTTCAAACGAAACCGCTGCCGGTGGTGTTCGAACCCACGATCCCCGGCGCGCGTCGACGCCTGTGCGCCGCCCCTTCGCCGATGCGGTAATGGGATTCCGTCAAAACGGCGGAAAATTGCGATTCGCGTTTACGTGTTAGAGTGTGTGAGTGCGTGGGTGGTTTGCTGCGCGGTCCACTGAGCTTCGCTAGCTTCGCCACCAAGCATCGGAACACAGTCCCGCGTCGCGTGAACCACCGCCACCGCGGTCGCATTCGTTCATTTATTCACTGTGTTTATTTACACGTGTCGCTAGCAAGCGTTCGGCAATCGTTCCCCCGCTTTGACACCTGTCCATCATCTCTCCGCTCCGTGCCTGATCCCTGATCCACCCCCGGCCACGGCGGGGCCACGGCGGGGCCATGGCAGTGCTGTCCCTCTTGATTGATCTGTGGACGCGGCCGCCACGCGGCGCTCTCCGAGACCGTCCAGTCCGTGATGAATGCGAGAGCGGCGTCGAATCGGAACGATCCGCAGCACGCAGCAGCATCGCAAAGCGGGGGAAAAAAATTCAAATTCAAATTCACTACTTTTTTATTCGTTTAAAAATCTCCCTTTTCCCTTGCAAGAATTCCCTGACTGCCGAGGGGTGGGTGACAGAAGCGCCTTGGCGCGCGGGGCGAGGAAGGAACACTCTTAATCTGTTGACACGGTGCGTGCCGCCCCCGTCGCCCCCGTCGCCGCCACCCCCACCGCCCCCAACCCCGGAGCGAGCCCCCGGCTGTGTCTGACTGGGACTATCACTGTGATATACACGTCGCTGCTGCTTAGTGCCTGTCAAGCGGCGCGGCGTGGCGTGGCGTGGCGCGGCGTGCCCAGTGCGGCCCATGCATACTAACCGAGCCTACCCTGCCTGGGTTCAAATACTGCTGCCCGCTTTCTTTCGCTCTCCTTTCTCGTTGCGATGTATTCGCGGCGGGGCCGCCTCACCCCCGGCCGTCCTGCGCGGTCCTGCGCGTCCTCTGGCCTCGTCGAGTGTTTGCATGACTGTCCACGCTCATCTTGAAATGGGGGAAATTCGATTTCCATCGACTCCCTCTCCCCCGCCCCCTGCGTCCGCGCGACCCGGGGACCGTGTCTGCCAAAACAAACCTCGAGCCGGGCCTCTCCAGAACAGCAGTGGGGCCACTCTCGCCGCCCGGCGGTTCCGTCTCTCTCGCACCCCTGAAGGCAGCCCCTTCAGGGCGACAGAGACCGAAACGGCGACGCTCCGGAAGCAGCTCCCTGACCTGCCTGTTCGCCGCCAGTGAGCGAGACGGGACGAAGGGGCTCTCCAAGGGGACGTCCAAAAACACCATTTCATAATAGAGTAACCTGGTTATTTCTGTTGACCCTTTTTGGCAGTGTGCCTGACACAACACACGCCCCGGCGTTCCGCCCTTGCGCGGCGCGAGGCGCGAGCCAAGCCCTTTGTGCGTGCTCGACTTTCCTTTCCCTTCGAGAGGTCGAAGTCGAGGACGAGTGGCGGTGGCGCGCCCCGGCGGCGGCGGCGGCGTCTCACGGCCAAATCGTCTGATTGCTTCAGGGAAATTGGATTTTGAATTATTGATTCGCAGACCAAATACATGTGAGCAAATAAAAATGTTATTCCGTTTTGTGTGCACTCGTGATTTGGTCGCAGGTGAGGGCGGCGCACGCCCTGCGAGAGGGCGTAGACGGGGAGGAGGGGGAGGCAAGGCCTGGCAAGGCAAACGCCGCAAACGCCTCGACAGACCGCAACAAAATGGCAACTCCTTGAAGCACTCTCATCCCTGCACTGTCTTCGCCCCTCGCCACCCCTCGCCGCCCCACGCCCCGGGGCAGAGCAGGCAGCCAGAGGCAGAGGGGAAGCTGCTTGACAGAGAGACGCGCGCGCCGGCAGTCCCGCGGGGAGACTATTCAAAAACACAAACAGGACAAAAGAAAACAAGTGGAAAATTGTGCCTACCTTTTGGCGCGCCTGGCGCGGTCGAAAGGAATAGCTTCAGACTGCAGTCAGCGGGAGAGGCTTTAAGTTTGATCGCGCGAGGCGGGGATTCGGCGCGGCACGGCTCAGATACAATACCGAGATAAAGATGAGGAATTGGCTGCCTATTCGAATCGCGATGCGATAAGGCATTGAGTGGCGGCTGGGAATGGCTTGGTTCGCGAGGCCCCTTTGCCCCGTCTGCCTCGTCAACCGTCCCCAATGAGCGATCATCATCAAGGCGCTCCAGCAGTTCTCCAGCAAGGCCTTCGCTCCAGCCCTCCAGGTCGGGAATGAGCTCGGCCAACCTGCCGACTGGCCTCCAGCGTGGCTGCATCAATTTTCCAGCCGCGGGCTTCTAGCGAGACTCCAGTGAGACTCCAGTGAGACTCCAGTGAGACTCCAGTGAGACTCCAGTGAGACTCCAGTGAGACTCCAGTGAGACTCCAGCAAGTCCCCTGGAACCTACCGGTCACGCCGTCGTCACCGTCCCTCGCGGCGCTGCAACAGTGCAGGCACTGGCCGTTGGCGCATGATAAGTGCCGTATTTGTATTAGAAAACAATTTCCAGCTGCTCTGGAGCGAAATCCGATCCCCGGGTTCTATATCGGCTCGGCCGAAGACGGCACGGCGGGGCCCGCGCGGGGAAGGGGCCCGGTAGGGGCTCGGGTCGGGGTCGGCCTGCTGTTGGCGACAGCTGCTGCATGCTGATGTGCACCACGAGGAGGGCGAGGCGGGCGAAGCCTCGGCGGAGCTTGGCGAGCGCGGCGCTCTTCGTCTCGCTGGGTCCGCGCGCCTCGCGCCGTCTCCCTCGCACTCCCGGCCCGGTCCGGCCCGGGGCCATAAAGCTGCCGCAATCGCTTCCGCATCAAAAATCACCTCATTGCAGCAGCGGCCATCTGTGGCGGCCCATCGCGGCGGCCCATCGCGCGCCACGCAGCTGCAGCACCACGTGACCCCCGTCACGGCGGGGTGGCGCCCGGGGTGGGGGGGGGGGGGGTGCAACGGGTCGCAATGAGGAAGGGGTTTGTCTCGTTACTCGGTGGGCCAGAAGACCGGCGCCGGCGGCCGAAACCCTAGACGTGTTTTGAGCTCCAGAGTCGCTAAACAGTACTCGAACCGAGCTTGTGTCCCCATCTATGGGTTCCTCGTTCGGAGAGCAATCCATTAGTGGGGTCACACGCTCGGTTCGAGTCCTGTTTTTGGTGACTGTGGAGCTCAAAACGCGTCTAGAGTTTGGGCCGCCGGCGCCGGTCTTCTGGCCCACTGTGGGGCGTCGGACGGCGAGGGGCCTGGGAAGGGCAAGGAGGGCCGCCCCGACGCGTCGCCCCGCCCCGGTCGCTGCAGCCCCTTTGGCGCTGGCGGCGCTGGCGGCCGTTAGTTACTTACGGGGACGAGAATGATAACAAAGTGCTCCGCAGGGGGGCAATAACATAAGGTAGTTTGGGGCGGCGCTGCGACACTGCCTAGACCTCACGGCGCCTCGCGACCCGGGACCGCCAGCCGGACCACGGTCGCACTGTCCAGCGCGACGTGGTGCCTGGTGAAGGCGGAGTTACCCATCTCTTGGTTGACCTGCCCTTTCCGAGTCGATGTAGATTTAAACATTCTTCTGAGAAATCCTATTTTTGTCCGTTTCAGTAGACCTTACCTCTTAGTGGATCAAACCTAATCTTTTGAGTTCGTACTCGGCATTTCGTTTCAAGGTTGGCTCAGCCCGGTTCCCACGCACCGAAAAACAGAGTGGTCTTTGTCCGTGACGCAATTAAAATATTTCCGAAGTCTACTCACGAGCACACATCACACAAACGACAATCGCTCTCACACTCCATCCATCCACACACGAACACACACACACAGACACACACACACGCAAACACCGTAACCCTGGACCGACCCCCCAGTCCAGATCAGCCACGCGCATCGTACTTGACAGGCGATGACACACGCGATTTCACCCACCCCGCCCCGCTCCACCCAATCCTCTCCATACTCACGTCGTCACCCCCACCCCACACACACACACTCACACACAGCGCGGGCCTTGTCCCACCAGGACTCCCCCACGCCCCACTTATTGTTTGGCGGATCCGCGGTAAATTGATCCTAACGGCATCCGCGGCGGCCCCGCCCCGCCCCACCACGCCCCGCCCCACCACGCCCCGCCTCACCACGCCCTGCCCCGCCACGCCCCGTCGGCAGACTGCAGAGGCTCTGCTCCGCGACCACCGCGCTGCTTAGCACAATATGTCGAGTGATTTATGACGAAGCGTGTTATGCCCCGCGCCTCTGCCCCGCATCCAGCAGACTGATTCCGAGAGTCTCTTTTGTCGCTCTGTCTCTCTCGCACTCATGAAGCGTCCCGTATGGGTGCGAGAGAGACATAGCGACAAAAACCGAATCAGTCTGCAGGCCCGGGGCTGCAAGGCCGCGAGCAAGGCCGCGAGGGTCCAGAGAGCGACCCCTCCGCGACCTCCACCAGCCCCTAGCCGGCAGCCCCTGCTCCGGGAGATGGTTCTCCTTCACCTTCCTTGGTAAAAATCATCGACAACCTCCCCGGTGCTTGCTGACGGGGTTCGCTCGCTGTGGATTCATCTCCGACTGGCAAGCCCTGCCACACCCGCGTCATCCCTTTCCGAACCGCTAGACCCTCCCCCTCCCCCCCTCCTCCTCGCTCGTAATGAAGATTCAGCTGTTAAACTGTGAGGGGATTAGCGTGCAAGTTGGCTTGGCAGGCGGGGCGGGGCGGGGCGGGGCGGCTCTGTGTACACGCGCCCCGTGTTCCAGTCTTGCCAGTTCCAGGGCGTTCCAGGGAGGCGCTCGGGACGACGTGCGCGTCGCCTCCAGGCTCCGCACTCCGGCCCGCCCCGCCCCGCCCCGCCCGGAGCGAAATATCGCCGCGTCGAGCCACATATTTCTTCCTTACCTCGCCCCGCCCCGCCCCGCCCCGCCCCGCCCCGCCACCTGTCGGCCCGGGAAGACAGTAAGCCGCCCCGGTACACTAGTTGCGGTTTGCCTATCGTCTGCTCGGCCGGCGGATAGAGGCGCTAGAGAAGGAGGGATAGCACCGAAACACCAGGACGAAGAGGAAGGAGAACACCAAGACAAGGCCGGGGCTGTTTGAGTCTTTCCCCGGCGAGGGGTGACCGTCGACCCCACCACTGTGATCATCCAATTTCTTCCGCGATTTCCCCGTCCTGGCCGAGTCCGCGTACCCGGGCCGCCCCGACCCCTCCTCCCCTAAAAGACCGTGGAGCAGCAGCGCGGTCCCCGGGGCAGGGCGGGCGGCCGGGCGGGGCGGGGCGGGGCGGGGCGGGGCGGGGCGGGGCGGGGCGTCGATGGCGGGATGGAAACTCGCTGCTCATTTTCTTTGCCGGCCAATTTCCTGGCCGAGATGATCGGAGAGGAGAGGATCGCTGGCCGTCGGCACGCGCCGCCCCCTCCCCTCCCCCTCCCCTCCTCCCCCTCCCCTCCTCCCCCTCCCCCACCGCTGCGGCAGCGGAAAGCATGCGAGTTGGCGATTCCCCGCACGTCTTGTTGGCGGCCAAGCAAGCCGAGGCCGTGGCAGAGGCCGTGGCTGAGGCTGTGGCCGGCCGGGGCGGCGAGGGTTATGGACGCGGCGTGAGTGCGTTTAAAACAACCTACTAACCCGGGCGCCAGTCCGAGGCCCCGCCACCGACCTCGCTAAATTGTATATTTGCGGCGTCGCTCTTGCTCCTCGCTAAAGCCTTCGGCTTTCGGCCTTCGGCTTCGGCCTTCGGCTTCGGCCTTCGACTTCGGCCCGCACCTGGGCCCCGGCCTCGGCTTCGGGACGGCCCTCCGTCGGCCGGCTGGGCCGGCTGGGCCCGCTTCCCTCTGTTTGCCTTTACGCTTTCCATGGCGATGTCAGAAACAACTAAGTAAATATGGCGGCTCACGAAAGGAGGGCGGAAACGGTCTGTTGACTCCCGCGCCGTTTCCTGAAGACGCTGGCCCGCTCTCTTCTAAAAAAATAAATAAACAATCATTTTTGAATGCAGAATCAACTCTGCACCGCGCTGTCACGTCTGACTTTCACCCCCCGCTCGCTTTTCAGCGCGTAGTGCGACATCAAAAGCCTGGGATAGTTTCTCCGAAATGACGGAACGAGACTTGGCCGCTCGGCAACAGGTGGCCCGGCAGACCGCATGCCGCCACGCCGCGGCCGGGCCGCCGCACCGCGCCGCATAGTAGCGCAGCCAAAACTCTTGACGCGTTTTGAGCTCCAGGGTGGATAAACAGGACTCGAACCGAGCGTGTGACCCCACCAATGGATTCCTCGTTCGGAGAGCAATCCATTAATGGGGTCACACGCTCCGTTCGAGTCCCATTCAGAGACTCTGGAGCTCAAAACGCGTCCGTGATTTTGAGCGCCTCCACCGGTCCTCTTGCCCACTGTGTGCCGCTTGCTCCGTGCTCGCAGTCGCGTTGCTTCCACTTCGATTCGAGGGTCGATTGGTCGATTATTGGCCGGCCTGGAATCGAACCGACAGAATAAACAGACTACGCGGCGTCGCGCCAATCCTCGCCACTTCGTCCACCGCCACAATTGTGCACGGGGGCAGTCTTTGCGAGGACGAGCGCCTGGCGGGTAGGCAATCCCCACCCCACGCCGCGCACCGGTGTCGGCGGCTTGCCTACGCGGCACGGCGGTCGGCGGTCGGCGGCCGCCCGGCTGGGTAGGCCACGCGGTCCACACCGGTGCGCGGCGTGGGGCGGGGATTGCCTACCCGCCAGGCGCTTCACTGGTGGACTGAAGCACTCCTCCCTTCAAGCGTCGTGGTTGCCGGGCTTGGCATCAAGCGCAGCACACCTTTCCACTCCTCTCCGATCTGTCTGAATGCACGGGAGGGTTTCATGTCCACGCTGCGAGCGCGGATCAGTTTCTCAGCGGAATGCTGCAAAGTTTTGTTTCCAGTGTCGCGACGCCGCTGCCTCTGCGGACTCGCGAGTTGACAACCAATCATCTTTATGGAGGGCAGCGCCACGCGGCCATGTGTGAGGCTAGCAGCCGGTCTTTCAACCAACTCGCCGCCGCCATGGCCGCCTCGCCGCCTTTGCGGTCCTACACTGGCTCGTCGCTCGGTCTCTGTCGCGCTCAGGGGGCGTCCCCAAGGAGTCCAAGGAGTGCGACAGAGACAGAGCGACCAACGCAGCGCGGCATTGCTTTCTCGAAATGAAGACTTTTCACTTTGGCTTCGACCTCTTGTGCCGCTCCTGCACGTAATACGTGGACGGGGCGAGTTTTGGTGGCTAGGGAGAGAGAGAGAGAGAGAGAGAGAGAGAGAGAGGAGGAGGAGGAGGGGGACATGGTGTTGTGGCCACCGAAAGGAAACGCAGCTAACTCACGGCAACCCTGCGGAAAAAGCCTCCTGTTCGGCTCTGGAGCGGAAGCCATCGCCCGGCGCAGCGTTTCACGCGCACGGCACGGGGTCTCGGGTTCAAATACCCCACGGTTCGAAAACTAAAAACCGTTTTTTGTTTGTTTTGGCGGAGCTGGCACGTCCGCGTTAGAGTAGCAGCATCTCTACCTCGGACCTCCCCCCACCCACCCCACCTCTCGGGGTCATCCCATCCCCATCCTCATCGGGCAGGGGCGAAGTTACACCAACTCGGCCGTTACACGTCCACGTTAGTGACCCTCCTCTACTCCCGGTAATGAGCCCGCCCTGTCCCTCGGCAGGAGGGGGGCGAGGGGAGGGGGGGAGGAAGAATGGCCAACGCGAAAAGCAAACTGTCTTTTAACCGGCCACTTTCGTTTCCATCCTGCGAAGCCTCCCACCTCCCGCCACTTTCACACACACACACGCACACACACACAAACACTCAAAGACACACATACATACACCCTCACAGCACCACGCTACCACAAGCAACACCTAATTGAGTCAGGCAGGATTTTGGTCAATCAGGCGATGCCGAATCGATTTGCCGCAGTCAGATTGACTCATCAACTGACGTGTCTGACGGTGTGCCCATCCGTCTGTCTGCCTGCCTGCCTGCCTGCCTGCCTGTCTGTCTGTCTGTCCGTCCGTCCGCGTGCGCCGTCCACCTGCCCATGCGTCTGTCAGCAAAACAACACGGGTGCTCGGTCCGGGATTGGGGCGGGGCGAGGCGGGGTGCTAGTGGTGGCAGTCATCATTAAGGGCAGGCTGCCGCTCGCTGCCACCCCGCCTCGCCCCGCCCCGCCTCACAGGTCCTGATGACCAGATTGAGCGCGCCACTGCAAGGCACTGCAAGGCGCCCCAATACCACGGCGCCGGTAATTTATTATTTGCCTTCGCAGTGCGTTATGTATTCCCTGGCACGGCGGCGGCGCCCCCCCCCCTCCCCGCCGCGCCCCTGAGGACGCCAGTCACGCGCCAACAAATGGCTCGCCAGTCGAGTTTGGTTTGTGGTTCCGTTCGGGGCGTTCGGGGCGTTCGGGGTGGCCGAGGACGTGATCCCGAAGGAGGCCGCCCAGCCCGAGCAGCCAGCCAGCCGGGCAGCCAGCCGGCCAGCCAGCCCGGCCCCATCACCGCGCCAATTCGGACGAAACGGCGTGACGTGTTTTATGCACGCGTGTCAACGGCGGGGTACAGCACGCTCGCAGTCTCCCTGGGGCGGCTGGAACACGCACACACACACACACACACACACACACACACACACACACACGCGCACACGCGTCGTCACGCGAGCGGCACCATAACCCCGGCGGACGGGGAAGCCGCGGTTCAAACGCAGCCGCCGGCCTAACATCCCCCTCCTTTTTCCACCTAGGACAAAAAAAAAGACGAAAAATACCGGGGGAGTGAGCGGGAAAACACATAAATCGTCGGAATTTTTCCAGCCCCGAAATTTGGTGCGCAGCAAAGCAGCACAACAAGCGCGTTTTAAGCGTTTTGCCACTCCCTTGACAGCCAGCCACCTCGTTTCGGCATTTTCGCTGGGTCTTCTTTCTTGCTGGCGTTTCCTCCTCTTCTTTCTCTCTCTTTTTTACGTCCCCGCCGCTCTCTCTCTCTCTCTCTCTCTCTCTCTCTCTCTCTCTCTCTCTCTCTCTCTCTCTCTCTCTCTCTCTCTCTCTCTCTCTCTCTCTCTCTCTCCCTCTCCCTCTCTCTCTCATCGCCACTAATTACGTAGAGAGCCCTGTTGCTGTTCATTACAGGCCAGTGATAGCACTGGCCGTCCCAGCCCGCCACGGCGCCACGGCCCGCCTTGCATGTGCGACGCGTTGCGACGACCCCCCGGGCCGGCAGTATCTGGGGAAAGACAAGGATGGAAACTAGACGGATAGGCTGGGCCCGGCGAGGGGTGGGGGGCAGGGCGCCGACCGGGCAAGCATATTAATTAACTCGTCAGTCATTTGTTAGTGGGGCGCGCAGTTAGTTGCGAATCCCTGGCAGCTTCCCGTCCTCCAGGCCGCCCTGCAGGCCATCCGCGCGGCCGAGGCCTTTGCCACGCTGTGCCGTCCCACTCCCGATATTAACCGCACCGCCGCCGCTGTCCGCCGCGGGGATTTCCAGGCCATCTTTCTGTTTCATTCACGTTTTCTTTTTCACTTTTCGCCTGTTTTTGCGGTGTAGCCGCACGGGTTTCATTATTTTTAATGAAAAGGACCCACGGGTATGAAAAGAAAAATCGCATAGCCGTGTGTATTTTGTTTCTTTCTGCGACACATTTATTACACATAATAGTTGTACATCTCTATAAAATTTGTAAGTCAACAATATCTAGAACATTTATCGTAATGGTAGGTAGTTTTTTTGTGCACATCACAGGTTAGGAAGAAACGATATGTATATGAGAGGCATTGCGCCGCGTTTAAACTTTTCGAATCGGTCTAAGTAATAACAGTAGTTTCGCGTCCCGGCGGACCGAGGACCACCGAGAACCAGGGAGCGCGCCAGCGGTGTCAGTCATGCTCGTGTCACGGCAAGCGAGGCGTGGCGCGCTCCGACAACGCTTAATATTAACCGCCCGATACGAGTCACTAATTAATTAGTAATAGTTATCACTACTCGCGGCGGGGCCTTCCGACCGCCGCCGCACTGTCGACACTGTAAACACGAGTGTAAACGGATGCTACACACAGTCGTACCCAGCAGTAATAATAATCATCATCATAATAGTAATTCTTTAACAATTCTAGATTAGCGCTTTTTGGCAGGAAAACGATAACGAGTAACGGTGTCGATGGCGAAGCACAGCTCGGCCGTCGCCGTGTTGGACGACGCAGTGACGAAGGCAGCGAGCTATCGGCGTCGCTTCCACTCGTTGGCTGCAACAGAGGCGGAGCAACACGCTGTAGATCAGGCGGCACTCCGAGAACCCCGTCCTGGACCACAGTGGGCCAGACGACCGGTGCAGGCGGCCAAAACTCTAGACGCATTTCGAGCTGCAGAGTCCCTACGCAGGACTCGAACCGAACGTGTGACCCCACCATTGGATTCCTCGTTCGGAGAGCAATCGATTGGTGGGGTCACACGCTCGGTTCGAGTCGGTTCGAGACGCTCAAAACCCGTCCGGGACGTTGACCGCCTCCACCGGTCTTCTGGCCCACTGTGCCGTGTCGTCGTCGTCGTCCTGGAGCCCGCCAAGGGCGCGCCGCTCTCCCGCGGCCAGCAGGGACACCATCAGGCCGGACAAACTTTCTAGTTTATTCTTCCGAAACAGAAAACTAGTTTCCGTACTCATTGCGGCAGTGTGGGGCGTGGCGCGGTGTGGCGTGGCGGGGCGCGCACAAGTTAGCCCCTTGCCGCCACGAAGCAGGCCACCACCTTGCAACACGTCCTCGCGGCCCGTCCCCTCCAAGGCCCCGCTCATCCCCATCCCGGCTGCCTGCCTGCCTGCCCGCCTGCCTGCCTCGGCCCGGGGCGGGCGGCCCCAGCGAGGTCCTCAGAGTCCCTCTTATTACTTCACTAGTGTTAGCAGAAGTGTAACAGGCGGATAACTTTTGGCTCGGCGCGGCTCGGGGGCTCCATTACAGCGCCACCACTGCGGGGCGGGGCGGGGCGGGCCAGCCACACAGTCACACCGCCACAGTGTAGTTTTGTCTTTCATTTTTCTTGCGAGAAACGGCCCCGCCAGTGTGCCGCACTGCTAGCCGTGCTGACCAACACACTCACCTTTGTAGTGGACACTGTTGTACATGCTGGCGCAGAACTTGCCCTCCTTCTGGAACAAACGGGAACGAGTGTTGCATCATCAATAATACTGTCACGTATTTTCATTTTTCACCATAAAAAAAGGAATTTCTTTTTATTTTCTAAAACCGAGAACAGAGAGCCGCAACTATTTTACCGCCATTGCCGCTATTTGTGGAACCGAAAATGAGTGATTTCGTTCGGGCCGTAATGCGTTTCGGATGCGACTTGACGTCCCGGCCCGACGTCGTCGCGCCGTTCCGAAGAATAAAAATAAAAAGAAATAAATCCACCGCGGTGGATTCATCATCGCCCGCCGACTCGGCGGCGGCAGGCGGTCAATGGCGGTCTCACACGGAAAAAATCGATTTTGTTCGATAAATCGATTCTGGTCTATCGAACAAAGCGGATCACCTCAACAAAAAGGTTTTGTTTCGTGCCCCCACCTGGTTGTTCTTGAAGTCGATGTTGGTCCGGACGGGCCGGAAGTGCAGTGGCTGCGTCTGGCGGAAGTTGTTGCCGAGCGGCGCCTTGGGGTGCTTGGGGTCGCCCTGCATCAGGCGGCGCAGGCCGTGGATCTGCCGGACATCCCACACACTATTATTTTTGCATCTTTCTTCTTGTCGTAAAGAAGTCTCGCCGGTCGTGGAGGTCTCGACGCTTGGCCGCGCGGGACGTTTACGGCTAGGGGCTTTACAACGGTTGCGGAGACAAGGTAATGTGCATCCCGCTGCACGGCGCACGCAGAGCACGGCACGCCACGCCACGCCACGCCGCGCCCCGCGCACGCTACACCCGAGTGATTTAGTGGACAGGGGCGGGGTGATGCCCAGAGACGGTCTGCTTTCGTTGCGCGCGCCCCGCCGGCACCGGCCAGCACGCCGCCGTGGAGGCCGTGGAGGCCGTGCAGATGGAGGGGCCCCCAGTGCCCCTGCGAGCCGAGGGCCGAGGGCTGGGGGCTGTTTTTCTTATCAAGTGGCGGGCCAAGCCAAGGGCAAGCTAAACACGGACTGACCTGCTGCTTGGTGATGTAGATGGGCTTGTTGAGGACGATCCAGGTGACCGTCTCCTGGCACGCGGGCATCGTGGCCGACCCGTCGTACGTCATGTAGGTCTCGGTGGTGGGCAGCAGGCCCTGCAGGGACAGCCTGGTCACTTGCGCCGAGGAGCCTGCAAACCAAACCAAACCACTGGAAAAACTCAAGGTGTGGGGTTTGTCTCGGGCGTCGAGTCGGACGGGCATTGCCAGTCCCCTCCCCTCCCCTCCCTCCCCTCCCCTCCCCTTCGCTCTCCCCCCCCTCCCCCCCACTGCAATCACTAAAAACCCTAAACACGACGCGTAAACCGGGTTCGCACAACGGACCCGTCAAACGCGAAACACGAACACGTGGGCATTGCGCCAACCCCGGCGGAACCAAAACCCCGCAAGTGCGGCGGAACCCCCGTGCAGTTAGGCGCCTTTCCGTCGGCGAGGCGAGGCGGCTCGCAGCACCAGGGTAATGGAAATCAATGTCGCAACTTTTTCACGGCTTGATCCGAGCGAGCCACTCCGCGGGCCGCGATTTCGTCCGGCGCTACTTTTACGAGTTCATAAATCTGTATGGTTCTGTAGCGCGCGGCGGCGGCTGGCGGGGCCGGCGCGGTGTGAGCGCGCCGAGCACAGCGCGTCGCGCCAAAGATCTCGCCCCAACTCATTGGGCCGCGGGTTAATATTGTTGTAAAGTGATTTACAGTGGGGCGCGCCGGGACCTGCCGCCCTTAGTCATGTCACTGGTGGACAGCCCGCCGCCCCGCCCGGCCCCGCCCGGCCCCGCCGACAGGTTGCCGACGGGGGAGGCAGCGGCGTCCACGCGCAGTCCACCAGCCCGCTGGCCTGCCAGCGCCCGCCAGGCGGAGCGGGCATTAGGATTTATAGTGAGGCGTGCACCCGAATCCGAGACCAAGTTCACCGCGGACACACTCGAAAAATGGCAGCGTCACTGTTTTTCAATTTGGCTGGACGTTGCTACGTTCCGCCGCCTCCTTCGTGTACTTTTGGTGGCGGTCGGC